CAATTATRCTGAACTTAAAAAATGTGAGATGCGACCAGCACATATGCCTTTGCTTCATTTCTAATGAATGATGAAACAACTTGTGGATATGTTTACTTGTAAATATGTCCATCTGTTTTTCTGGAATAACGCTGTGTCATTGAACAGGTGTCAGATCCTAAAATGGACAAATCTGGTCCGCGCAACATCTGGTGGCTGCCTGTGCTGTTGATCACCCCCGCTGCCTCCTCGTGACGATCCAGCGCGCGGCGAGATTTGCATCACACCCAGGACCTGCAGCTTGAACCCTGCTGAGGTAATTGATGCTCACGATGCCAAGTCACAGCGTTATGTGCAAAACTCTTCCCAGTTATGCACTAGAGAAACAATGCGCCCACTCTCCAGTGGGGGCTATTCATTCTCTTCTCGTGCCAATTACACATGTAATACATTGAAAATATTTTGCACAGAGGAGGTGGAAGCAATTAATCTCATTCTAGTTCTGTTCAGAATATTATCTTGTTAGGAGTCTTTGAAAACTTTGCTCATCACTTTTTACTCTTATAAATCTATCATTAAACGGTTAACCTCTAGTGGCTAATTCATAAGTTCAAGTGTTTTATTGTCAGCATAGTCTTTTACTTTTTTTAATCATTGTGTTTAAAACTTTTTACAACTGTTTTAGACAGTTAAATSCACAATTGTTTAATACTCTTTCCAAATTGCTTTCTGATGTCTTTGYTTTCTTTCACTATGTCCGTCACTGAGTGTGTTTATTTCTGGGTAGAGTACAGAAACTGAGATTAGATGATTTCTCTAAATGATGTTTTAGATTGTTRATCAATTTTACTGCATTCTCATGATGAAGAATGACGCCCCAAACAGAACACAGYTGAGTGTCTGTCTAGACCCCAGGTTAATAGACTGCTCTGTTATGTGTCAGTAGYGATGCCTGCGTTTTTCTCAGCTCTGCCGTACTGTTGACTTCTGTCTGGCTTGTTGTCTGCTGTGCCTCCCAGATCTGCTTTTGTGCCAGCCATTGTTGATCTTGTAGCTGTGCGGATACTGCTCCTATTTTCATTATGTTCTAGTCTTTGTTAATTTGCATCTTGTGCATTTCAAGCAGCTCTAGTTTGCTCTGCTCACACTGGAATTCTTGCAGGCCTTTGAGCTTCRGAGTTAGTGCCTCCTACCAGACGTGTGCAGCCCAGGTCTGAAGGGCTCAGCTGGTGGCTGCAGCGATGGAGTGGGACATGGGAGCTAGAGCATCCCACTCATAGCAGCGTTCATGTTGGCTTTGAGCGTACACCTAGTTTCACTGTTCACGACAGCAGGCAAGCTCATTACTTGTTCCATTAGTTTCCTACATTTTCAGTTCTTAAAGTTGCACTTTTCACTGTCAGAAGGTTGAACAACATAACCCAGTGCTCATGAACAAATATGCATTGTTCCAAATAGGTTGCTTGTTATCTAAAACATCAGATCACAGGTTTGATGGATGCACAAAAGTTTGCTTCTCGTTTTACAGATAAACCTATAGCAGGCACTCTGGTTAATGTTAGAAATAGGACCAAATCTTGGGGTTTGGGTAGTTATAATGCTGTCAGATAGCTTGGGTTTCAGTATGCACAAAATCCTTTGACCCTGCATGGAAGTGGTATGGTGTGTGCATAAGAAGTTGACTGCATCATGTTTCACCAGCATTTGGTTTATTTAAAACCTATTTTATTTTTAAGTGCTTTGAGTCACATTTTAGTTGCATCTCCACGAAAAAAGCCTGAACTATATAAGGCAAACTGTTTTGTCCATTCAGGATTCATCACTTCCTTTTAAGAATTGGCAGGTTAACTTGCTTCCTTTGTCTTGAACTCATGAGAAATTGGTTTATGCTCATTACTTAGTGTGTTTCTTTTGTGGAAGTGTTAAAGAGAAGTAGAGGCTTGAATTCTGCTTTGTTGTGCTGCTGAGGTTCATGAGAATCTGATCTCTTCTGTTGTTTGGCTTGTGCCCGTATCTCCTACTTTCCATTTCTGCCACGTATCTGAAATCTTGTAAAGATATTGAAGAGCAAAATTGTGATATCGTGACCTGTCAAGCATCAGAAGCTGCATCTTTTAGATACCTTTTTGGGTTTCTGAGGTGCTTAGATTGAAAACTTATAGGCTTGTTGCACTGTGATTACAAAGAGCACAGCAGGCAGGTGGTAATTCCCTGGGAGGAGGCTGCAGCTTCCCCTGGCACTTGGAAAATTCCCGGAGCAGTGGCTTGGGAGACAGCTTGCACAGCAGCCGTGCCCCTGTAGAAGTTAAACCGTTGCCAAGATCTGGAGATAGTTGTGTGCTCATACTAAAAAATATTGAGGGGCTGTATTAGGTGTATTTTGCTGCTTTTTGAAGTCGTAGTGTGTAGAGGTATTACTGCAGCTTTGCACCTTATGTAATGGCAGGTTGGTCTTTATTAATCTGAATACTGAAGATACAGAAAGGAAATGTCTATATTCAAGCCTGAAGGAATACAAAAGGCTCATGGCAGCAYGGGACCTGGCTTTATGCACAGAAGTGGATGAGAAGTGTGCGCTTGGGTCCGGTGGCAGCGATAYGCAGTGGCCTCGGATCAGCGTCTTAGTCACGGCACATTCACAGAATTGTCAGCTGTCCCTCCCCCAGAGAAAAACCAAGAGAGGTCTGTGGGAGAGAGGAAATACTGTCCCACRCATTTTGCAAATGGGAAATTGAAGAATAAAACCATTGAGATTTAATGATAGCAGATCTGGAAGTAATCTAGATGTTACGGGCTTCAGACTTGAATCTTAAGGGCAAGGCTTCACCTCATTAACATGCTTGTTCCTGTCRTTCCATCACAAACATGCAAGCTGCCTGTACCCAACCTGAATACGCTACAAGACGTAACATGCTTCTCAAATAGTGATGTGCTTGTTGGAGAGAGGGAATTGAGCTGATGCGTTTTCCCTTAGTTTTCAAAATGAGTTTGTACCTGGGCCTTTCTGAATTCACAGGTGCTTTGTTAGGAAAGGARGACATCAATCAGCGTATTGATGAGTTTAGCTGATCGTCTCTGATCAAAGACAGGAAAAGTTTTGCTGTCTTCCAAGGCTTGTTTCTATTTTTTCATATCTATATCATGACCAAAAAAAAAAAAAGAAAGACTTGAATATCATTAAAAAGATCCAATTAATTCCCAAATACTGCTCATTTATAGTCAGGACTACAGTCACCACTTTTACGTCAACTCATTTCTTGCCCAAGACTTCCAAAATGTTTATGAAATCTGTAATCGGTCATCATTAAGCAGCTACTGACCAAAACCAAAAGGCTTATATGAGAACTACCTAAAGAATGTTGAACATACATAATGGAGATTTTTTTTTCTGATTTCTTTAAGTGAACTGTAATTTATACAAGCAAATGGATGTTAATATGATCTTATCTTAAAAAATTGTTTAAATTATGCTCTAGGTCCTGTAATTTGACCCTAATGCTGCCCAAATTCTCTTTTGTGAAAGGAGACAAGTAAATAACTTGAGTTAATACCTATGTATTCTGTAAAAATAGGCTAAAATTGGCGAGCCAAAAGACTGAGCTGTTGGACATGGAGCTCTGCTGGCTCGGTAGCTCTTTGGAGTAGGTTGAATAGGACTCCTTATTTCAGAAATTAGCCTTCTAATTAGGGTACTAATTTGTTCCCTACTGACCATAGTGCCATGGACAGTATAAGAAACTTTTCGTAGTGTTAAGTGTTTGGCAGGATGTGGTTTTCACCTTTACAAACCTCACCCGAGTACAATGCATCTTCATGCCAGAATAGAATTTTTCTGTAAATTTGTTATAAACAGACTCTATAGATTTATTGATGTAACTTAATAACATCTCAGTTGTCTTCATCTGGAGTCATTCTAGGTATTACAGAGTTTTTGTTTGCTTTTTTCTTTTTTAAAGCAAGGATAGAGCATGAGCTTAGGGTGTTGAAGTGATGCCAAGAGCTGTGTTCCCTTAACCACCCAGAAGGGAAGACCTTGAGGGTGTAGCTTCACACATGCGTGCTCAGTGAGCAGTTAGCTTGTGTTGAGAACGGTAACATTTTATGCAGACCTGGAAATGCAATTGGCCAAAATACGTCCTTGTTCTAGGCGTTCTCTATTACAGGTTGTTTTCTAGTTATGTTTTCTTGAGAACTGACAGGAAAATGCAGTGTAAATAAGTCTCAAATGTTGAGGCGTAAGTGTCATTACTGAAGGTTATTCTCAGAAGTACTTGAGTTCAGCTTTGAATATATTTTCCAAAATCACTGTTTCTGAAGGAACACTGAAATGGCGATTTTTTTAACTCATACCTCCTTATTATGTTGCTTTGTCTCTCTGACAAAGGGAATATACTGCTTTCATATGCCTACAGTAGCATTTTAGTTATRGATGAACTCTTGAAATGAATATTCTGATTTAACGCCCCCCTAAATACAGAATGATTTGGATGTCATTGCAGAATAGCCCTGGAGCATCCTAAATGCCTTCCTTCAGTGAGAAGCTAGAGCAGAATTTGTGCTGCAGGGTCCAGCCGGTATCTGCAGCCCTGGGGCTGGGCGAGAGCCACGACACAGYCCGGGATTTGCCCTTTGGTACCAGTCCTTCCTGTCATGCTCCGTGCCTTGGTAGCATGCACAGAGGCATCTTGTGCTCCAGCCCMCCACTGAACGCATTTGTCTGTCCTGTTAAATGCTTTACATGGGAAATTGGAGAGCCTCACTAGASGTTTATCTGCCTTCCTCCCCTTTTGCCTTTTTAAGTGGAAGGAAGTTCAAGCTGTTTGCTTTAAAACTGAGGTGCTGAATGGTAGTCCCCACTTTAAGGCATGGCCTTCTGGTATAGAACAAACAACCACATAGGAATAATAATTATTTTTAATAATAGTTTAGCATACATAATACAAACAATAAGTTAAACATAGTAAAAATAATTAAATAAAGTTGAGGTTCCAGCCCTCATACAAATGATACAAATCTATTAAACAAAGACAGTTTAAAAAAATAAAACCAGCATATCAGTTTTAAGGAAAGAAGTATCTTCCATACACTATCAGTTAAATGGTGGATGATGGTTACAACAAAACCTTATAGTTGTAAGATCCTCTTCTAGGTACATACATGAATATAGAGACATGGTAGGATCAGACTGTAGTGGGACCAAGGTACCATCAGATGTGCTCAGGCTATTAAGTCCAAAAATACACAGTTTACATCCTTGTACCACAGYCCTTAAGTGGAACACGCTGCACTGACACAGTCACTGTTGCCATCCCTAAGATGTTGAACATGTTGAGACTGTAGGACTAKGCCCCTATGCCAAGTATGGCTTAAGGCTGGCCTTCAGTCCTCCTTTGTGTAATAGTGCTAATTAAGRCTGATGCAAGTTCTTGCATATTCTAGTACAACAAAGCTTGATTACTTTCCCCATACCTGTTTTAACAGGTTAGGTTTCTAGGACTTCAGTCTTGGCCTTCTTCAAAATGATGAGGAGAAGTTTTATGTTGAGTTGATGTAAAAAGAAAAAAAATGAATTAACTAAGTGAAAACTGTACCAATGCTTCTGGACCAAACACTGGTTCATAAACTGGAGCAGGCAGATAACCTGTAATGTATCGTGCATGGGAATACTCATTTAAATGTTAAATATTTTAGTTTCCCACAGCACCATTTTCAGGTGATTGAGTAGTGAAGTAGGATGTCTCTGCATCAGAAACACTGACAGAAGGGGCAGAGAATAGGAGGGTTTGTAACCAACACCTCTAGTGAGCAGTGTGTGTGACCAACGTCAGTGACATTCAGGACCATTCAGTGCCCTGGCATCAGTATCGGCTTAAACTCATTTGAGTGCAAGTAGTTGGAGCCCATGTGTGGGGAAGAGTCACTTAGGTTCAGGGAGAGGCCGACTTTTGGTATGAACCATRTTCATATTGGACTCAATCCAGTCAAGGTAGCGAGTGACCCTGGTGTAGACACCGGGCTTGTTCTGCTTGGCGCAGCCATCGCCCCAGCTGACGATGCCGTAGAGCGTCATCCTGCCCTTGTGCTCGCAGACCATGGGGCCTCCAGAGTCTCCCTGGGCAAGGGAAGAGAATATTGTTAGCCTGGTGGCTGCAGCTCAAGCCTTCACCACACTGCCCCGTGATGATTATTTTTCTAAAATGAAAAGAACTAGTAAACACTGGTGGGTTAAGGGTTGATTTTYAAGGATGCTGCATTAGATAGAAAGCTCAGCAAGCAGCTCCAGTCCTAGAGTACTGTGTCTGCAGTCAGATGTTCTCCCATGTGCCCTGGCTGCGCTGCCCTCGCAGATGCCAGGTTAGTTATGGAAGGCCAAAGCCAGCACTCCTGCCTCTGCAGCTCACAGCTGCAAGCAGCTGCCTGCCAGCCCCTTGGCTCTACTGAATTCCCTTGTAATAGAGAGACTCTTCTGGATAGCGGGGTAACATACCAACAGTTGCTCAGTAGCATGTAGATAAGAGGGGAAAACTTAATCTACAGTAGTTTCAGAAAATAATATGAATTTTTACCTTGCACGCATCGATTTGCCATGCGGAATCTCCAGCACAAACCATGTTGTCAGTAACTCTGATGTTGTCATAGTATTCACGCGTGCATTTTCTTTGTGATATTAAGTTCACGTTGGCTGACATCAGCCTTTGAGCGTAGTAAATGTCAACTGCAAGAAAGGAGATTTGGACTGTTCACATTCCAAAGGGAAAAAAATAGTTCAAGTCTTCCTAATAGAAATGAAGATGACTATTCCAGTTCTGTGGCTCAATTTGACRGGTTAAACTTTGTCGTTGATGTTAAAAGTGAAAACAAGTGTTCCAAATGCAAAGTGCAAAATTTTTTTTTAAGAGAAAGATGATGGTAGGTTTTTTGTAGCTAAATTCTGTACAAGTACAATCCTTAATACTCTTTCAATTCTTGTTTCAATTCTTCTCACTCTTAGTGGGAAGAGAAAGGGGTAGGGACAGCCTGTTTTGTTTTGCTTGGAATGAATGTAAGATAGAAAATGCCATGGTAGCAGAAACAATCTTGCAAAAGAAATAGATAGGGAAGACACAATAATAGCAGGGAGGCTCTTGAATCATTTGCAGCTCCTGGTATAAAGAGCAGCTTGTTTGCATGCCCGGTTTAAATAACTGGTTATTTCACTTTACACTGTTGTATCTAGGTTGTTACTGGCACTGTCACAGATGCCACTGTGGTTTATGAGCAGCTGTAAGTCATAATGAACATTGTAAGGTAATCTGGGTGCATTTGAGGAGAGATCAGAGAATAGGCAGTGCAGTAATATAGTACTATGAAATATATTACTGCAGGCATTGCAGTAATGTAGTACTATGAAAACTATTTCTGTCTTTTAGGGGTAAAACTGAAGAGCAGTTTAGAGCAGTTTGCTATTCTCTGTATATATTGTGAAYGATGCAGCTTCAGTGTTCTGTTCCTGAAGCTTAGTGCCTTCATTTTTGCCTTTTGAACAAAACAGTCACTTGACTGAAATGTGCAGAAGCAAAGTGTTGATCCAYATAGCTTTGGTCAAGTTTGTTACCTATAAAATAGAGGCTTTATATACGAGGCTGAGTAATGTTTAGTAGCTCTCTCTYTTGTTTTTTTTCTTTTTTTCATGTCAGATATAAGAGGTTTTCACACTGCTTAAGTACAGCTTTGGTAAAAAAAAGTCATTCACTTACAAAAGTCCTGTTTTCCATAGCCAGAAATTTCACACTGGGTATTGTCTGGTAGGTAGAGGTTCCTCTCTGGCAAGCAGACTGTTCTGACATAATTGTTTTCTACTGCACAGTGTCCAGAAGGTGTCCTTATTCTCAGCAAAGCTTAAAGAAAAAAAATGAGCAGATATAGTTAGAGTTCTAAAAACAAGTTTCTCCTTATGAGTTCTTGGAGATCTGAAGCATCTGGTAAAGTGATTACACCTAGCGCAGTTGCATCTAGTTGCCCTCATCACTTAAGGATGACATTAGTCATTATTATTGTGAAAGCCACGTTATTTTTCAACATCGAAATGGGCAAACGTTCCAATTCAACTTCCTTCCTGGAAGAAAGGGGGGAATAAATAGGGGACAATTTCTCTCAAAAGGCATTTTCAACCATTTTTTTCAGTTCCAGGAGTTCAGTTTCCTTCTGACTTTCTGTAGAGAGTATCCTATTTAAAAAGAGGCCACTTTCTACTGCACCACCTGCTAAAAGGGCTGAAGGATCTTCTAATGGCAGGGAGTGGAAGGGGTGATGGAATATCTGTCAAGGGCAAAAGGGACARGTCTGCAGCATTAACTTACAAAAGCCTGTCCCTGCAACGCTGGTGGCTTATGGAGGGGCTCATGCAAACTCCATTTACAGAGTTATTTCAAGGTAACCTTTAGCTCATCTGGGACCTGGTATGGCATTCTCCTAACACGTGACACTTACCAATGTCATTCTCATTGCCACCCGTCATATCTGTAAAGTCAGGGTGAGAGATGATGGTATCCACCATGAACATTTGCTCCTTATTATCAGTAACATTCAGTATGGACTTTCCAAGGAAGACTTTGAAGGCCGATTTGTCTTTTGACCTGAGTGAAAAGAGAGATTCATGAATGCTACTAGATTTCGTAGAGTGAGGTCATGCAGCATTGACTTCTATTTCATATTTAACACTGACAAGGAAATAGCCAGTTAGCCAGGTAGGTTTGAAAGTGATGCACTATTTTTGACTAAAAATGGCAAATCAGGACTCTATATGAACTAGGTATTCAGACATTGAGTTGCAAATGTGCATGGCTGCTGCTAGTGCCAGGCATTGAGATYTTTCTCCAAAAGGCTAGGGAAAAGATATATATATTATATATATGTGTGTGTGTATATATCRGTATCAGTTGCGTGTATCATCAGTATGTATCAGTTTTCTGTCAGCTAGATGTACTCAAAACTGATGAGTATTTAAGAACAATACAATTTTTAAATTTGGGGAACAGCTAACAAACAACTTAGCCTGAAACTCTGATTCCAATATAATTAGCATATCCATCAAATATTTGCATTTTATTAGCTTATCCTGCCAGCTTAGGCTCTCAAAGGCTTATTGTGCACGGCCCCTTTGGTGTGATCAGCCAGCAGAGCCCTGCAGGCCGCTGCTCAAGGGTGCAGCGCTTGGTGCGGGGAGCAGCGCCCACAGAAATCCCTCGGCAGAAGCTGCAAGAAGGAGCAGTGCAGAGGCACGGAGGGCTGGCGCTCACCGGTCGAGGAAGCAGTGCGCAGCCGTGAGCACCCAGCAAGGGTCGATGAGGCTGCCGCCGCACAGGAACTGCTCGATGCCCTTGGTGTTCTGGAAGATGCCAGCGATCCACGGCTGGGACTCCACCTCTGCCTGGCTTCCCCCCACGATCTTGTAGTACTTGCTGAAGCTCCGCTGGCCACAGGTGGGTTCTGTGAAAGAAACAGTTTCGTTGAGATGATCTTACAGCAGGCGAGTTACCAACCTCATCCTGAAATCAGTTGTCTTAAGTGTAGCTTACCACTTTCTTTGTGGCACTGCGGTATGTTGCAAGGTGTTTCCTGAATGCTGAATCCTCTCTTTGTGTAGCACCAGGGCCTGCTCCTTCCATTGGGGTTTCTGGAAGACAGACAGCATGTTATTTTTATGAAGACAGCTTGTGTTAAAGTATCTTAAAATTCTAGCTAAACTGAAAAGGATAAAGATTGCAGGCTATGCCAAAGAAATTACTCTAYAAAAGGACACCTGTTTGATCGCAAAATTGGCAGTTCATTTTGTCATAGCTAGTAGTTTTCATAGGGCCATTACTGCAGCATACTGGGAATTTTGCAGTACTTTTAGCCTCAGCAAAAAATGAAAATACTAGATACTTCAGAAAGTCAAATTTCAAAATTCATCTCTGAAAGACTGTGGTGCTCCTTTAATCATGCACCATCACTAGAGGTGTTTCTGGGAAAATGCACCAGAATTTCACAGGGAGAATGATACATTATCCCCTACCTGCAGTAGTTGTGCTTGCCCAGTCCAAGCTGCAAGGCATTCTTCAGGTCAGTGTGGTAGCTGCCCCTCCTGATAACCGAGGGAAGGTCCCAGTGCAGACAATTCTTTTCTGTTGCAATTCCTCTGAAGTCCTCACCATTGTCAGTGTAGCAGGTGTTGTCAGTGTCTGCAAAATAAATTTGTTAGCATCTGGTTCTTGCTCATAGTATAGAAATAACCATGTGCATCTGCATAATGAAACAAAAATTCTTGTATTACTCTTGAAAACAGATGATGCAAAATCTGGAGTAGTTATTCTGTATATTAAGATTGTTTTATGAGTAGTCTGTACCAAATATGCTTTAAAGCATTTATATAGTGCTTGTTTAATAATTTCAGTATATATTACAATTTAATCACTTCCTGCAGTTTGGACTCTCCCAAGCAAATTTGCTCTATTAAAACAAATATTAGTGAAGAGGCAGGGACAAAAAGACCTCCGATATCATGACTTAGCTGCAATAATCTGGATCTCCTTTGCCTAATCTATCCTTACCAGACATACTTTTGTCTGTTATGTTTCTAATTAGCATTCATGATTTGCTTATCTTTTCAATAGAGTGAGTTAATATTAAGTAGGGGGAGAGAGATACTCTACCAATTTCACAGTGAATTCCGCTATATCCATCTGGGCATAAGCACCGATTGATTTGGTGGAAGAGGTAGTAGGTGATGCAGGTTCCTCCATTTAAACAGTTGCAATCTGCAAGTGAAAGACACCAGGAATCAGCATTAAAGCAGTTGAAGAGTATTGCAGAGGGAAATATAGCTGCAAACTAAATCATAGACCTCGTTAGTCTTCCTGCTTGTATGAATGTGCTAATTGCAGGTTAAACTCAATTTGGACTGAAGTAGAAGAGGCAGATACTTACCCTTACGTTCTGATCCATGTTTATGTGGTAGCTTGTGGTACTTCTTGATGTAGACCTAAATAGAGGAGCAGGGAGGAAAGGCATGCATATTATTTCTAAASAAGTTTCTTTTATGGAGTTTTATTATCTGCCAATTTTGGTGCAACTCTGCAATGCCTCATGTTTTGAGCCATGGTGACCAGCTGAACCTGCTCTGTGGAGTCTCCCCATAGCTATGAGGTAGAACTCCACCTAAGCAAGCCACAATGGGGGAAAAACACAATACCACACACATGAAAAACACCCCAAACCAAACTGGGCCAGTGCCTCAGGTCAGCACGGTGGTTATACTGCTGCTCTAAGAACTTAAGCAATTTTCAAGGATCAGCATCTCTAAGTAAGAGGAAGAAGGTCTCCTTTCCCCTCACCCACCAAGCACAAGATCCAGCTCCCTTTCTGGTTGTGGTGAACTTGGTGCTCCATGGTTTTGCACGGAGTAATAGCCAGTAGGTTTATTTGTCCTGTCTTTCAGATCTGGAGGATCTGAAGGACAAGCTGGAGTTCTAGTCCTTAGAGGAAGGTAATGAGGCTTTCCTGGGGCAACATGGGTTAGCCTGAGCTAAAACAAGTCATGGTTCCAAGGAATTGCTGGAATTTGGGAATTGCTCTGTTGATAGACATCAGCTGTCATACAAGTCAATAGCCAAAATATCCAGTCACATCAGTTGCTCTATCTTAGCATCCTACACTTTCAGGTAGGGAGAAAATGGGAATTTAATTAAGATACATTATCTGCATCTATAAAAATCCATCACATTCTTGCTAATTGGTGTTCAGGGTTGAACTGCATTAAGAGAAAGGTAAAAGCTACTTCATTGTGTCCTCCCCATTGAACTTTCTATAGGGAAGGTCTTGATGTGGAGCAGAAACACAGAGGAAAAACCAGCACAGGGTTTGAAGTGTTTCAGGAAGGTATATATGCAACAAATGCGTAAGTATTTGTAAACGCAGCAGAATGCTGAAGGTCTAGTCCACTCTCCAAAGCAAAGTATAGACAAGAAGTGGTTGCAAATGYGTGGCCCCATGTATTTCAAAACTTACAGACTCAAGTCGTGTGACAAGTGCTGCCAGAGTTAGGGTGCAGATGATGAGTAACTTCATGATGTTAGGTAATTCCTCGCTTTGTTCCTCTTCTGTATTATTTTGATTCTAAAAATAAGAGAGATTGATCATGTCATAGCTTAAAGTGCCAGCTTGCCCTGTTTCTGTTGTGCTCATTTGTTTTCAGGGTATATCACACAAGTCGCGTGAAAAATTAAGCATTGACTTTGGACAATCTACTTGTTGTTCCCATGTTTTTCTACMCTTATAAATACAGTCAGGTTGTTCAACTGAGGCAAGGACAGGGAAATTGAGAAACTCTAAACAGTAGTTAGTGCAGTAGAGCTGGGGGCAGTTCCTCTAGAAAGCAGATTCATTCAGTTGCTGTGCAGCAGTATGCATTTATTTCCCTTGATCAACTACTTGGTAGTGAGATTGAGTAGAGTTTAACACCTCCTTCTAGGGCGGCAGGGGCTGCGAAAGGGAAAGCTGCTTTTGTGGCAGTTCCTCCCCAGTGCCTGACTGGGGCTGCCGTTTGCGCAAGGCCGGCCGCCTCAYGGGTGCCTCTCGCCACTGCCAGCTCCTGAAAATCCGGGCTCGAGGCTGCCTCGCTGGTCAGGGCTAAAGGGCTGTGAACAGCGCAGCAACCTCCGCTGAAGTGACAGTTCAACTAACCTGTCAAAGTGATGGAGGGAGGAAAAGGGCTTAATTTGCCCTTAGGAAAAAAAAATGCAGTGCAAGGCTTTTCTTCTCCTGAGTGTGCCTAWATAAATAAATAGAATAAACCTCCCTCAGTTTAGAGAGAAGGAGCTGCAGACACTTGGGACCTGCAGCTCAGTTTCCTCGAGCCAGCAGTGCAGTAACTAGGAGGGGACCCCCGAGCTGCTGGCCCTGGCACCTGCTCTGCCCTGCCCGCTCCCGGTGCTGCCCCATGGGCTGAGGCCTTCCTGGTACCTGAAATGCATCTTTTTCAGTTTAGTTTGTTCAGAAGAAATAGAGTAAAGAATCCTAAAGCCAGTCCAGGATGAAGCCAGTCGTGGGAAATGGAGAGAAGCCGTGCAGTCATTTAGGAAAAAAGCCAACCTGATGCAAACTGAAACGCTCACCTAGATGCACCCTTTGCTTACAGGCACTGCAGGTTTCATAATGCAAAAAAAAAAGCAAATCATACTTCAGGTACTCAGGCATGCACACTTTCTAGATTAAGTTTCTATTGCAGTAAATGTATTTTCTTCTCCTAACCTTAATTATAGTAAGATAATTATTATAATATAGCTAGCATACGAGCATACAAATAATTCGCYGCTCATTACTATGACTTTTTTTCTCAGGCCTAACCCCTGGCTTCGCAGAGCAGCACGGCTGGTTTAGGATCAGCCTGACGCATCTGCGGTGCTCGAAGCCGTCCCCGCGGAACCGCTCGGCCCCCGGCCGCGTGCGGGGAGCCCCGCGCCGCGCTTGGCACTTACCGGCTGCGAGCCCGCGCTGCGGCGGCCGCGCCGGCCGCGCCGCTATAAAGGCCCCGCCGCGGGGGCGGAGCGGAGCGGGGCCGCCCCGGGGCGGAGCGGGGCGAAGCGAAGCGGAGCGGGGCCGCCCCGGAGCGAAGCGGAGCGGGCGAAGCGGCTCCCGGCCGCCCGGCGGCGCCGCCGCTGCCCAAAACTCCGGTGTGACTCAGGCGCGAGGGGGAAATTTTAAATAACGCTCCTTAGTTTCGAGCGTGTGGCCGGGGGAATTGGGTCTCTCCGGGGAGTTTCTCTGCCTCATGTAGCGTGAGGGGCAGCAATTGCCTGAGAAGGGTTTGAAATTATTAGTCTGGTTGGAGAAATGTGTGGGATAGCTGAGCAAAATGACTGGTGTTGAAGCATGCCTAGAGACACAGGCAGGTGATGGTGTGTTTGCTTCATCTTTGTGTGGCGCTCTCCATAGTGAAAGAAACACCAGGGATTTATTGCCTAAGGGTTGAAGGGATTCAGAGATGTGGGGCAGAGCAGCATCTTCCCTATGTGTTAGCAAGGTCATTTCTTAGGCAAAGCAAAGCTCGGGCTGCTGTAAGACAGCTTGGGCCAAGCTTGTGCCCTGGAAGCCGGAGCAGTGGCTTCTGTAGAGCAGAGAGCAGCTGCCTGGGGGAGTCTGGTACTGCRCAGGAGCTAAACTCACCCTCGTTCTCCCAAGCCACTTGATTCTCCCTCCTTCCAAAGCACTGTTCTACTCCTGAGAAATTGGTTGTGGTTTTTCCATAATATTTTCTGTTTTCTAAGGGAACATGCAAAGTAGAGACCTTACCCTAGATGTAGACATGGACATGGATGTCCCTACCTAAGGAGGCAGCCCCAACAAAACAAATASTTTTTCCTAAACCCAATGAAACACGTTTTTACACACCGTGCTTTGGCATTGTAGCAGCACCAGGCATCTGTGGGGATATTCTTAGTATTTAGCTTCATGTACAGCAGCTAAGGCTAAAGACTCAGGTGAGACTGTTTCTGGTTGGAAGAACAACTTTTTCATAGGCCATTTGAGAGCAGGAACGTACCTGAATTGCCTCTGCATGATTTCTTTTCATAACTGGGCAATTTGCAGCTTAAAGAGACTTCCCTTCTGTGTTTGACAGCACCTTTGGGTGACAGGAATATGGCTTAGGTTGGTTTTTTAGGTCCTTTCCTTTGTGCCAAGGTTGTGGCACAGCCATACCCTTATTTGGGCAGTAGTTACTTGTACTCTCTATTTATCTTTCCAGGCTCGTGTCAGAACAGACTTCATCTCCCCTGAAATTGAATTCATGTTCACTGAATGGCAAATGAGTCAAAAGAAATAGTTCAAGCTGGAAGTTCAAAAGTGAAGATAGGTAAGGAATGGATCTTCTTAAAGTTCAGTAAAGTCATTTTACTCTATAGTGACTGAATGTATCAACAGCACAAGCAAGTAGATTTTCTAAGGAGTATGACAGATAACATCAGGGTAGAATTGCCTTTACATCCATCYTTACTTGAGAGAAACAGCTTTCAAGTGACCTTATTCTAAGGAATAAATATCATGGAACAAAAAAAAATATAGATTTTTAAAAGCAAATTAGTGCCTTGATTAATTTGAATACAGCAGTAYAATATAATAAGGAGCCAGTCTTCCACTGCTGCTGGGGTTTGTCTTGACTATCATTCTCTCTGGAATCTTATTGTCCCTGGCAGGTCATTCCAGCCCTTTGCTAAGGGTGGTGGACTATACTTCTTCCCTATCTATAGAGTCTCTGTAGCGAGTGAAATAAGACAGGAATTTGACTCTTAGAACATACTCTCAACAATCTCAGATTACCTATGATCAGACATTAATCRTTTTTAGCCATAAAAGCTCGATGTTTGTGAAACTTTATGGATAAAAATCTTAAATCTAATACCATCTGTCTTTCAGTTTTTGTGGGGACTAAATGATAATGCTAAAAGAGAAAAATAAGAGGAGAGGCTAATTTATCTAAATATTTAAACCTAATTCAGAATCAGGTTATTTTGTATACTGCTTTACTTCCAAGTTTACAGAAAGGAGGCATGACATCTGTCAGCAAYTTAAATTGGAGGAAATGAAGCCTCTGTGGACTTGTCCTTAGCCCCCAAGCGAGGACTAGAAAAGTAGATGGAGTAGCAGCAGGCAAATCTCTGTAAGTGTCCATGGTGCAATACAGGCCRTGCGTGTCCTGCCTTTGTTATCCTCACTTTTCTCAGTAGGAAAAAGATTTTCTGAGGAACAATGGGAACCTTCTGTGGAAGATGACACAGAGGTGAGAGACTTGTAGAGATGAGGGTGATGGCTAGGGAGGAAGAATGGCCTGGGTCATGGTTTGATTCACTGTGGAGAGCAGGCAGGAGAATAGTTGCCAGAGAGAGGTGGAAGCTGGACACCTTCAAAACTCCCTTTTTCTGCCACTTGTTACATATTTAAGTTTTATTGAAATACTATATAGCTTTATCCTAGTGATAAGATACATCTGAAAAGCCACCAAAGGAAGTGGTCTGGGCAGAGGGGTTGCTCTGTCTCAGTCAGGCGGGTAACAGTTTCTGYGCAGACACAGCCCTGCTAGGCTTACAGCACCACTTCAGTGCCATCTCCTTCCTCTCAGCTGAGCRCTTGCACCTGGAGAGGTGATTAACTGAACTGAAACCGCAGGTTAGCCGAGAGGAGCCCCGCTTAGCTGTGGGGAAGCTGGCTTTGCTGGCACGCAGTCTCAGAGCCGGCAGGGCAGCGTGCCCGGCGGCAGCACCGAGTGAGGCTGCCCAGGCAGCAGGGTGAGAGGAATTCCTGTACCTGGGTTCTGTGAGCGACCGAGTGCCTGGCTGGCRCAGTGAGATCTGGAGCGAGCGTGCACTGAAGTAAACCCCTGAGCTGCTTATGTGCCCTGCCYTAAGGCAGAGCAGTGGAGAACCTCCGGCCTGGTAGTTCTGAACAGGCCTCCAAGAAAACTCATAGCCGGACCTGGTTAATTGGAAGCTGTGGCTTAAGAAATAGTAATTTAGGTTCCTGACCCACAAACACCTTTTATGTTTAAGWGGCTGCATTCTGCTTTCCACAGTCTAGTTCATTTTCATTATACAAGGTTTTGGTTTCATCACTTTAGTTTCATATCTGATTTTGGAAGAGATGTGGTCAGGATGGAAGAAACTTATTTCCTAAGAAAATATAGGTGCTGCTGGAAGTGGCATGGGTGATCTTGTAGAAGACACTTTGGTATCTTRATAGAAGCCTAGCATCTACACAAGAAAAAGCAGTTCATAAAACTTGAAGTTGTTCTCTCGTTCATGTAGGCAGAGCTGTTAAAAACAGGACTTCACATGTTTCTTTTGTCTATGCTAGGACTATAGCACAGAGTAAAGAGAATCCATAGGCCTGTTASGAGCTGCTCACGTGGTCAGGCTTGTGAAGCTCTTTCATTCCTGTAGTGCTTTACTGAACTTTTCAGTAGAGGCCAGCTGCAATGGATCCGACTGCAAAGAGCTGGTAGGATCAGACTCACTGGAGGCAATTTTCAGGTTATTGTGGTTTAGTTTTCAGTTGCTGATAAAAATCTTGCTGATCATTTTAATTTGTAGTTGAAATAACTTGAATGTTTCTAACTGGTCTGCCAGCCTGACTTAGCAAATTTACAAAAGATAACATTCCAGCTGGATGAGGACACTGACCCTTTTAAAGGAATACAGGCGTTTTATCTCTTGGTGGTGGGCTGAAAGACATTGTGAGGCTCACATTTTGTCAGGGGGACCGCAGCACAGGAAGTGTTATTAGTTCTAGTCYTGCTTTTCATGGCCAATAATAAACTATGAAGACTAGGCAGAAGTACATCAAACATTGGTCCATCTTGTTCATCAGTAAAGCCTGAAAGTACAGAATTCATAGCAAGTTAAAATAATTCTCTAGATATTAGTGAAAGCAACTGCCACCGAAGTGCAGTTCTATCCTGAAAAATTTCCCTCGTTGTGGTACCCTGATTTTCTACACTGATTTTCTCCATCAGGGACACTCACCAACTTAATRGGAATCCCCACACACTTAAAATTGTAATTGTGCTTAGATATCTGCTCTAATTCTGAAATCTCAACTCTGTGAGCAGACACTTTGGCAAGACTGCGCTSCCGGAGATGGGGCTTGGTGCAGGAGCAGCTGTCCCGTCCTTCCAAGGCAGCTTCAGGCTCAGATAAACCTCAAGCTTTGTGTCAGCTCAAGCTTTGTATCAGGTGGTTACGTGGGGCACCTTCCTCTTCGTGTTATGTGGAACTAATTTCAGAGCTAGTTCTGTTTCTAGTAGAATGCGTTTGTCCACATAGTTTGTCCCAAAATAGAAGAATCCTGCAGGGATCCCCTCGGTTCATGGTGCATCAGGAGCAGAGAGGTCTAAATCTGCACTTGAACAGAAATGTTTGCCWGAACCTCAGTCATCTCATATGAAATAACCAGCTTAAGCCTCACATCCAATATTTACTTAGTCATTAAGGATATGAAAGCCAAGAAAGTACCTAGATTGTCTTGACATCATTTGTCACCTCTGTAATACTAACAGTTTTTGCTTTTTTGTTTGCTTTTTGAAAAGAAAATAGCTTGTCATTGAGTTACGTAGGTSCAACTATGAGTATGGGAATATACATAAAAAAAGTCA